CCTCTGCCCTTCTCTCTCTTCTTTCCTTATCTGGGCAGGAGGGGAAGGGGATTGAAAGCATTGGTGTCATTGGTTTAATTGCTCATCCCAATTTAAACCACTGACAACCCCCAACCATTCCCTGTTTTTGAAGTATCATATTTTTAAAAGAATATCGTAATAAACATCCTTCAAATGTAAAGGCTTCTGTAACCACAGTTTCAGAACACTATACTGTACACTGTATGTCCAGGTATAAACTACACCTTCATTCTGTATTCAGGAAAGAATAATTGATAAACTGAAACAGATGCTCTAGCTACCTCTCTGGTCCTCCCCTGCATTTTTTCATTGCCTTCGCTCACCATATCATGGGTACAAACAATATCATTCCGTTTTCAGTGCAGAGTTTGAAATTCAGATCATGTAAAGCAAACTTAATGTTGAATATATTTCAGTGGGCAGATTTTTTATTTTTATGCTCCTTTAAAATGTGCCAGTATATTGAACAAATAGGCATCTCGGTTCCCCTTTATTGCCTTAATCATTGCTACCATACAAGCTTCATAACTCACTGGGAGACCAGTAAACTTTCTTTCCTGGAGTATTCTCAGCGCAAACATAACACTCTAGAAACATGCTGTGCCAGAAGGGGTTGCATACACTTAAACCTACTGCTGGCAATGTCCAAAGTCAGAACTTTGGGATCTAGATGAAACAACTAAGTCACCTGACATAAGTCAGCCCTCTCTTATAGGGTATCTAACAAAATGTTAAATTACATATTTTCCAAGTGTCATCATTTGAATATGTCTCAATATTAAACAGTCCTATGCACAAATTTATCTGGTGAATTTGAAGACGGAAGAAAAGGAATGGGTGTTTCCATGCCAACATGATCATGAAAAAATCTGATTCAGGCTATGCCTGCATATGCAATCATAAAAAAGCCTCAAATGTGTGATACACTAAAAATACTACCCACTACATTAACATAACACATACATAATTCTACAACTCCATATTCAAATTGCAAGTACAAATTCTAATGCATGGATTTACACTACTCAAGCATTGAAGACCCTCACTTTTTGAGACATGACAGTCCACTGTGGAATTATCAAAACAAAAGTATGCAGTCTCTATCAAGTAATTACCAAAAACATGTAAACAGATCAAGGAAAGGAAGAAGAAACTTGTAATAACTATAATGGGGAGCACAAACCTCAATTATTTTCAGTATACTGGGAGCCTGACTTATGACTCTGCATACACATATTAAACTTAAGGCAAATCGAGGTTTTTGGACAGATAAAACAGAAACTAATTACCTGTACTTGCTTCCAGGACAATCAGCTGAGCCCTAGTAGACACACTGAACAAGTTCAATCAAAAGGAAACAGGTATCTTTGACTAGGTAAAAGTAAACATTTCACAAGGGAGTGAGATGACAGTACACCAGCAAAGAAAAGCTCTGGAAATTACATACTTACTTTCAGTCTGACAGTAAGAGATAGCATCCTGACTAGTCAAACAACCAAGACAAAGAAGATCAATACCCTGAGAAGACAGTTGTTTAGCAAGTTCTCAGATGGGCCTTTGTGGGAAAAGACTGCTATGTTTATGAAAAGCAAAGAAAAGCATGCTACAATATTTGAAACAAACAAAAGTCAAGACAAGAATTGTGAGGTCAAGCTTAACAGTCACCAGAACATAGAGAAATAAGACCTCTAATTCGACCTTCTAATTCGAGAGAGCATAGCTTGGCAAGTTTTCACCATTAGGGCTAGACATGACCAAATGTCTGTAGAAAATCAGTAAAAATCAAATGTAAAGTAGGCATCTCTGAAACCAACACAAACCTGAACCAGAGGAGAACAGCACTCTGAAGTCAAAATTATAACAGAAGGACAGAAAATAAACAGTACAGGAATCTCAGAACTTAGAAGATACCCAAGATTCAAACAAAGTTTTGAAAAATGGTCCACAGAGGAGATGAGACGAGGCGTAGAGAAATCAGAAGATAGTGTGACTAGATGAAATATTTAAGCTAGAAGAAGGAACAGATGAGAAAAGTATCTTCTTTTGCCAGTGCAGACAAGAGTGATGGAAAGTCAGTAAGGCCATAACAAAAATCAAACTACTACATTCTGTCAATATTATCCTAGAAAAATCATCAAAAGACAGTAAAATAGTTGTAGGAAGATATGCATGTTTCAAGAAATTAAGTCTTGATGGTGCAAGTGTAGGTTGCAAAATACACTGGGCTAATGTAAATGAAAACTTAGAATCACTTAGCTGCAAAGAAAGCAGAACTGAAGGAAAGAATAAGGTGAGCACAGAAAGATCTGTCCTGAAAGAGAAGGTGAGTCATAACAATGGAGAACACGAACAAGCTTTGAAGCTGAATGTCAGCAACAAACACTGACAAACTGGAAACCATCTGACAACTGAGTAAGTATAGAAAAGAGGAATATGCTGGAAATTACTCACAGGGAGCTGGGATTATTGAGAAATCTAAGACAACATTATGTTTAAACAATTCTATATGCCTTAGTGATTAAAAAAAACAGGTTTTGACAAACAACTATGATGCAGAAGTTATCCTAACTATTGCTAGAGAATTTGAGATACCATCAACAAAGGAAGACATGGAAATCTTAAGTTTATGTTGTCCTTCTAGCCAGTGTTTGGAAGGTTCTTATATTCAACTGGCTCAACATCTATACTAAGGTATGTCAGGCACCCAAAGGAGTATTTCCCACTTCTACATAAAAGTCAATCTCCAGTCTGGTATTGCTGCTGAAACACCACTTTCCCACATCCCTGCCTGGCATACTACTATGATACAGGGTTCATGGTAAATCTATAAAAATAATTGCATAGAAAATATTAGCAACTCACAGAAGTGCTATTTTTACAATACCATCATTCACCATGACACCTGCAGGTAATGTTGACATGTAAGATCAGTCAGTGTGAGCATAGATTTAGAGTTACACTGTTTCTATTCCTTTCCAACCTATGCTTTGCTGGTGGAAGCTGCAAAGGACGTAAATAAAATCACAGAACTTCAAAAAAAAGCAAACGCATGCCCTTAATGTGCTTCAAAACAAAGATGTCTTCCCCTGACATGTGGCAGGGTTGATTAAGTTGTTTGTAAGGCAGCTACCAAAGTGCTTACAAACAGCATGGTTTTTAAGAAAAACAGAAATAAAAACCAAGCCCTGTTTAGTATAATATGCCATAAAGCATAAGCCAAACCAGCACAACTGATGAGGCTTTCAAACTCTTACTAGCAGAGATTTTTATCATAAGAGGAAGGCAGGGACTAGGACAGCCCTCCCCATTCACAGTAATCACTAAGATGTTTCTACCCATATTTGCTGGTGGCTGTTCCTAGAACATCACAACAGTGAGGGAACTAAACTAATTCCAAGTGATTAATGTAAGCTCTCTGGACATGTCTATGCAGTTTATAGCCTGGAAGGATGCTGTAAGTCCAAAGAAACACTAATATGACCCTATAAACAGCTATTCAAGTACTGAATGGTAGCTACAAGTAAGTAATATGGATTAATACATCAGCAGAATGCATATATATAGCTAAGAAAAACAAACTCTGTAGAAGCAGTATCTTGCAAAGCTGGAAAATAACTTTTCTCCCTTCTCATCCTTCCACTACCCAAGACAGTGGGAATGAACCCCAAGACTAAGAACTACCCATTTCTTCAGTCTCACTGACATCCACACCACAAAGCAGGCATACTGCAGATTTCATAAGTACTACTTAATTACTTCTAGTGCTGCATCCAGGTAAATCAGATTACCAAAATTTATATTGCCTAAGAAAAACTTTAACTTCTTTCCCCTAGTCAAGTATCTGGACATAGGGGAAACAAAGAACACAGGAACTAGGTAATTATGGATCTGTTTAAACTGTTGAAGCTGAGTTTTACAACTTGTTTTGACCTAAAGGAGATCTCTTAGCTCAGAAAAATATCTATGGTTTCAAACTTGAAAAAGCTTCAATACTGTAATCACTTTGAAAAAAAATTCTAAGGAAATTTACTAGAAGCAGACTGTATTGATAGTGTTCCATTCTACACTCTTCAGTATGAAAAGTTGTTTCATTTTCAGGTTTAACAGGAAGACACTATGATTTCCCTGTAGCCTGGTACTTCTGAGATAATTGTTACAGTTATTATTATAATAGACTATTAGGAAAGCAATGTTTATTTAACATGCTCCAGTTACTATACAGACCAGCATACAGGTGTGGGAGCAGCATTCTGAATTGCCTCCTGGCATTTTTGTTCATTGATGTCTTTAAAAAGTTTTCTCCAAAGATTAGACTCAATTTGAGAAATAAATTCCTTCGTTAGGATTCTTGATCTTTATTTGCTTTTATTGAAAATGTACGTAGTAAAATTTCATTGGCATTTGTACCAAAAACTGGTTTCTTAGCTTCATCTGATTAAGACATTAAGTTGGAGACCAATATTGACCAAGGTTTCATAATTAAAAAAAAATAAATCTGAACTTTAAGCTTTCTTTTAATTAATTTAAAGAAAAAGAGAAAAAAGGATTTGAAAAAAATACATTCTCTAAGCATTTTTCACCACTAAACATCCATACTGAAGTAAAAATTATTACTTACATTTCAGTAACACAAAATTATTTGTCAGACAAGCTAATACAAAAAAGTACCCTAGAGAAGAGCAAGACAAACCTAGTACTAGATAAGTTCAGGACTGCAAAAAGCAAAGAGTTGAAGAGTAACCACTTGAACTTTCCAAGAGCACAAAACTGAGACAGTAAAACCGAAAGGAAGACATATCTGGTGTTTCTGACTATTATACATAATTTATCTTTGCTGGAAATCAGAAGCTTATCTCAAAAAGAAATGTGCATATTTGAAACAAAAATTAAGAACAATGTTGGCCGTTAATGAAGTCACCAAAAAAAAATATCTCCATAATTTACAGAAGCCCAGAAAATACACAGGCAATTCCACTCACCTGTCTTCACTAAAACGTCGACCAACCAAAATTTTACATTTGTCTGAAGGGAGACAAGCAGCTAGCAAAGGTACCGTCCTTAATACTCGACTTTCCTGTAAGAAAGAAAAGTTACTTTTAAATAAAATCAAGGAGGGCTTCTATGAATTGCTAACGCTTCAATTTACCTTCAAGTTCTTTTGACTACAGACACAGAGCAACAGGTAACAGAAGAAAACAACTTTACAAGAATACCTAATTTTTATGTTTTCAAATAGTATTGTTTTGATTGACAGTATTAAAATTAGTCTTAAGTAACCTCTGATCATCAGCATAAATTTGAACTAGGCTATCAGTGTCAAAAACAAGAAGGAAATTTCACACGCTAAAAAAAGGTAGACAAAAACCAGCATTAGTATTAGTGTAACAGGTTGGGGAGCTAACATGCCTATATTGGAAAATGTGAGGAGGGCTGATTTCCACAAACAGATGTCAAAAATAAAAGTGCTACTTGGATCAGAACAGAGATCTCCACTCTGCTGTCACCTCACGATAACCAGGATAACCACTAACACTCAGGCTGTGTAGGCCAGGCATCTGCTTCCATCTTTGTGGCACAGATGTGGAAGGTGACTGCCATGCCTGGATGAGAAGCAGGAGGGCTTCAGATCTCAAAAAGCATTAAAGAGAGCTGTGTCAGAGCTGGGCTTCAGAAAGTGGAGGAAGAGGGAAGTAACTGCCAGCGGTAGCAAGATACCTATTCATTGAACAGGGCAATTTGTCATTAATTTAACACAGCTGGGAATTAACTCGTTTCTGTCTAGCCAAGAAGCATTATAAACTGAGGTTGAATATTTAGGATGTCAATTTTTGTTTTGCCATCAAGAAATAGGGAGCATGGTTTGTCTTGCATTTAATGAAGAGAGCAAGCCAACACCAAAAAAATGAATGAACGTTTTGGTTTATTTATCACAAGAGGAACAAAGGAAGTCTATTAGCTGAATCTAGAAGGACTCAAGACATAAGAGGTCCAGTGAGTATTACAAAAGCCCTAAAATGAGTAAAAAAAATAAGTTCTTACAATATTCTCAACTTGAATGTCTCATGATGCAGACAATGAAAACCCGAAGATCCATCCCTAAACCACAGGATTAATTAATGAAAACTCAGGGGGTGTTTGCTCTGTCTTTTTATTTATAAGCTGTATTTGTGAACACATAAGGCCTTGATTAGCTCTGTACGTTCTATCTGGGCAGTTGTTACCTTCTACAAGTATTAAAGTGTACCTGCCTGCAGCTCTCTCATTATCTTGCTGCCAAACTGTTGTTAAATTAGTTATGTAAAGACATTTATCACTGTTGCATAAAAACTTTATTAATTTTGCCTTTTCAGATCCATATCTACTGATCCTCTATAAATAAAACATCCTGGTATTGAAGAAAAAACTTGTCCTGCTACATTCAGCACCACCTTGCACAGCAGCAGCAGTGTGATGTCTCCTACAGACCGATGAAGTACCTGGGGAGTGAAGACCTAGCAAGGGAAAGGAGAAATAGCCTTCAAACTACTATTGATTTCTTCTATCTCAACAAAGTGGAATAAGCCATAAATGGTAGTACAGTAGTGTTTGTCTTTATTTCAGCATAATTAAATAACACTCCAATTCACTAGTCAGAAGACTGCCTTCTTCAGAAGAATGTAAGAAGTGGAAATAAAAGGAATTGGAAGAAAATCAATTATTTGTCTCTGATAAGCAAAAGCAAAAGAGCTATCACCAGCCAAGGGAAACGCACTCAGCTTCTCCCTGCACTGTCATAATATTTCTTCAAAATTACCTTTCACATCAAAGGAATACATACTCTTACCAACATAAAAGAATTTCCAATCTAAAAAAAAACAATCCTTATTTACAGAAAAATAAAAAATAAAATTCAAAGCTGAAATTAATTGAGAACAGAGCTTTAGAACAACTAAGTCAAGATAACATTAAAAAGGGTTAATTTCCTTATGATTTTTTTTTCATTAAAAAACATTTGTATTTAACTACGTCTAGTTAAATAGATAACCTGTTTGTTATCATATCAGCTATCTTCTGTTTACTGGTTTGAAAGGGAGCAAGTACTCGATCCTTTTTTTTCTTCTCAGTGTTGTAACAGAGATTTGCTACTCTTTCTTTATTCATTATTTGACCACTGAACTACATAAATAGAAAGAGAACTGAAGGACTTATGTACTGAGTTGGCCTTAGCTGGCTGTTACGTGCTCACCAAGTTGCTCTTATCACACCCTCTCCTCAGAAGCAAAGGGAGGAGAAAATAAGATTAAAATTAACTCATGAGTCGAGATGAAGGCAGATTAAGAGAGAAAGGCAAAGATCATGTGCAGAAGCAAAGTCTAGCCACTTCCTGGGAAGCAGGGCCTCAGCACATGTAGCGATTGCTCTGGAAGACAACTGCCTTAATAACTAATGCTGTGCTGACTCCCCTATTCCCTAGTTTTTATTGTGTCATATGGTACAAAATATCCCTTTGGTCAGTTTGGGTCAGCTGTTCTCCAATCTCTTGCACACCCCCAGGCTACTGGCCTTTGGAGGGGGGGTTGCTCAGCAGTAGCCAAACACTGGTGTATTATTAACATTGGTGAAGCACAGCACGATGGGGGCTGCTATGGGGAAAGCTAACTCCATCCCAGTCAGAGCCAATACAACTTACTTTCACATTTGTTGTTTTTTGTTTCTCTTTTCTGGGAATTAGTGGTACTTTTGTTTAGCATAGTACTATCTACCTACAATGAACAGCACAGTTCCAAGCAATAAAAATACTTGTTAAAGCCAGAAGATACATATTTACTCCATTTTTGCTTGTGAATTGTTAGGACAATTAGCAAAAAAATTCTCCTTATATTTGATTCTTACTGTTTAATAAGGAATTCTATTCAAGACTACTATAATGAGCAAGTCAAAGAAAACTACTGGCATTAGATCAATATATAAACTCATTAAATGTACAGAATCTAGTTTTCTCCTTAGATGCTTAACACTGAAAATTCTCACATTTATAGAAAGAAAGAAGGCAAAGAAAAATAACAGCACAAATAGATACTTCTGCTATGCTTTAAGGGCTCTGTCCTGAGTTACATCTGTCATTCAGGTTTTGAAAGTACATAATAGCCTACACACTGCTGGAAATCACTCCAAGAATGATGCTAGGCAAAGCAAAGACAAATGTATATAAGGGTTTGTAGACCTAGCTATGCCAGTGGCCTGGCATGAAGTTCATAACAGTAAGCATGAGAAGGGTAAAATGACAAAAGTATTTTTTAAAATAACTATATACACACACACATATATATGCAAAGAAGAAAAATAAATTAGGCTATGCAAGTAAGTCCTTCACTTTTCCACTAGTCCTGATGCTGGGTTTGGGATACTGAGTTTCTATACACTTAACTTGTAAATTACCCTTCTTTATGAATAAAAGCCCTTTGACAAAGAAAGCTGAATTCTCTTCAAATTCCTTCACAAATAAACAAAATATTTAATTCATGGATCTATTATGTAAAATGAAACCTGCATGGAGGGATTCCTCATGTATGATTCACCACTCTGCAGTAAGTGATTTCCTCTCTTTTTCACAGTACTGATACCTACACAGATCTGGAAACATGGCCTCTGGATATTAAGAATGTGAAGACACAGATGGTGATACTAATCAAAGCACAGGAAATGTTGCTCCTGACTTCCTACATTGCTATCTCACCAGAAAAGAAGTCTCAATAGTATCATTTGACCATATGTCATTTGACCATGGTGTCTTAATTCATGGCACTGCCAACTTCCAAAGCCAATAAATAATGAAGTACATGGCAGATAACAGTCAGCATTGATGGGCAGTAGACAAAAGACATTCACTATGTGGTTAGTTGAATGTAATACACTCTAAGATTTTGTTTCAGAAGTATGTGTAATGAAATCACAGACTGAAAGATCAGATAGAGTCAAGAAGACTTATCTGCATTCAAAAGTTATTGCACTTTGACTGAGCACCTACAGCAAAGGGAATCTACCTTTTGTCAGGTATGCCCCTGCTGTTCTGGAGACAAAAGCATCACCTGTGATCATCTAAGACTAACACTTTCAAAAATCATTGTAATATGTTCTTAGCTTTCCACCATTTGTTTGGATTTATCTCTGATAAGCCAAATGCCCTACTGTAGTCAGACAGTTAAATTTTTCTTTTCAGATGGATTGTCTGAAAATACATTGGTCTTCCAACACTAGTTTATCATGTGAATTATGTAACATAAATAATGGAAAAGATGCCTCCCATTGTAACAGACAACTGTTGTGATTGCCAATTTCTTAAAAGTGTAGCTAGCCTTTCAGAAGGACACAGGAATGGTGTATGAAATCTAAAAATAAACTGAATAATACAAGCTGAATAAAAGAACTGAATAAAAGATACAGTAACTCAGGTGTATTTCAATAATGAATGGCATTTCAATCATTAAGTTAAAAGGAAAAATCATTATATGATGTTAACAGCATAGCTGTTTCCTCTCACCTACCACTTGCTGCGTAAGATTCTATCTAAAGTCCAACAGTTACATACAACCTTACTTACCTCTGCTGGATGCTGAATTATATACAAGTAGGTGGAGACCTTTAGTGGATGTGTTGGCAGGAATGGACATAAACACACCTTCTGAGGACGGCTACATGACAGAAAGGAGTGAAAGAATAATAAAAGTAATCAGCAATTTATGAAAGGTAGCATAAATATGTTTAACAAATACATACTACAACCCAAGAGGCACACTAAGAACCTCCCCTTACGACAGAGTGGATTAAACTTGATGTAATTTTCTGCTTGTAACTCTGTTTCTAAAACTAAAGATGCAACGTTTTCATTGGACCGAGGTTTTGAGAACAGTGTTCATACCTCTACTGTCATCTGGTTAGGATCAAAGCAGTATAAAAATCCTTTCATTATCTTCAAGAGAAGCAACATACTAATATCCATAGCCCAATCAGAGAAGTTTGCTACTGCTTTTCATACCATGTTAGTGGTATGGTTAAACAATTAGATACAAAGTCAGAATTTTCATCAGAATGTTGGAGACTCAGAGCACAACTTCACCTGCATCCTCCTTGTAATCTTTACTGGCAATTTTATATGTTGGTCACACATGAGAGACAGTAAGAAATCACGGTAATAGATGCAACATACAGAAGTGAATTCTGAAGATGGGTCCTGATCAGGTTTGTGGTGAGCCAGACTGACAAAGCACTTGCTTGTCCACAAGAGCATGCACCCAGCCAAGCATATGAAATAATGTTACAGTAACCCAAGCCAGTATAACTGCTCCTTCATTAAATATTAGTACTTACCAGTAACTGGTGGCATTACAAAAAGGGAACAATAGATCCCATAGCCAAGAAATCAGTGTAATAAAAAAATGGAAATTATTCTCACTTGTGTGATAAATTGTTCCAGTGGCCTGCTGTCTATCTTTGTATTTCTCACGCTCATGTTTTCCTGTTGCTAATCCTGCATACATTTGGCATATTCTGTTGCATTAATGGGTAGGCTTTGAAGCTAAAATTTAGTACTCATTAATTTCACTATTCAGTGGTCTATTCCAGGGACTTTTATTGTGAATTAACAGAAACAGCCTGACTTCTAGGTATGGTGGGTCTAATTTCAGAAGTTGTCTAGTGCTGTACTGCTGCCTTTTTCCAAAATGTTCTCACATGTAACTGATTTAAACTGAAATTTCTGAAAACAATTTTATTAACAACCTGGAAGCAGCAAATACCCACAGGGGCTGTTAGTTCCCTGTGCCCCAAACATTAAGTAGAAGTTTATCCAGTCCTTGATGATCAGATTTAGTGGAAACTCAATTCTGTACTAAGTGCAACTCCTTGAGTTTCTTCCTATTATTAAATGCAGTTTTCACTAACAAAATAAGCTGTTAAAGTTCTCCCCATTTCGGCATTTTTCTACTGAGGAGAAATTAAGGCATGAAAACGTACTACATAAAGCTGTTCCAAAACAGTTAGCTGGTGAATTCAATCTAAAGAGCTGCGTTGTTCACTAGCTTTTATAAGCAGGCCGAAACAGTTTCTGCTGATTTCTGACCTCAGGGTGTTTAACAAAGTTGGCTAAATGTGACTCACTTATTTCCAAGCCTCCCTACTGCATATGCTTTTTGTGCTTTGCAGTCTGGCTTGGATTTTTCACAGGTAGTTTTTAAAGCTTGTTAAGCTCACCACAAAAACCAACAAACAAACAAACAACCCAAGCAAACACCTGAATAAACCCTACTTATAACTTAATTTGTAGGGACCAGATCACAAATCATGACAAATAAAAACATTTCACAATATAGTTTAATTACTTACATATGTATATACATTATTTAACCTTAAGCACCCAATTAGCTACTGGATTATGTTGAATACCTACTTTTACAACCTCATCCTGAGGCATAAGAATTATTCTGTACCTTTACTTTGGTACCTAACAGTTATTGTGCCGCGTAAAAAAAAAAACAACAACAACAAAAAAAACCACACACAAACTATCGGGTAGGAAGCCCTGCAGAACAAGGGAAGTTCTGTTCCACCACCACAAAAGCCTTCTTTGCTCTGAGAAAGACCACCTAGGCAGAAAAAGCTGTCTACTTTTTCTTTTGTTTAAAGATCCTGCTGCAATCTTGCCCTACATGTGCAGCTGATGTTACAGAAGAGTAGGGGCAACACCACAGAACTTATTTGAATGATGAACATAATTTTTCTCCCATTTCTGGAAACGAAAATAACAATCTTCTCCAGGAAGGAACAATAGTATTCCGAATATTAAAGAAGAAGTGGGGATTAGGATTTGAAAAATGATATTTTCCTGCAGTATTATTCATATATTTGTAGTTCCACTACAGCTTATAGCTATCCAGTGGGCTTTTAACTGTTTTTCAATGCAGCATTTCTAGTTTAAAAGCTTAAGACAAAGTAACCCAAACATTGGTGGAACTTAAATAAATAAAATCTATGTATTGCAAAATTGCTCCATATGCACGCATAGACGTATCACAGCTTTCCTTCTGTTGTTCACATTTAAATTAATGATGTTCATATTAAGAATAACATTTACTCTATTTTCTATTTAGTCTATTTAGGAGAACCAAATCTGAACAGGGGACCGTGCTGTACTGTGGTATCAGGTTTAGTGTGATTACTGGTTTCTGGGCACAGATACTCTTAAAGTGAATATACAGTAGGTTGAAAAATAGTAAGCTAGTTCTGATACTCTTTCCAAGTGTCTATGATTTTCCAACAAACGTAAATGTCCTTACTTGACTCAGGACTAACTTTTACAATGTTACTACACATCCAAACAGCTCCTGAAAAATGTCACCAATCTAGGAACACAAGGAAGTATATTCTTACATTCATAATCAGAAAACTGAAGGGAGGTAATTTGAGGATTTAAATTCAGAGTAAGCAAAGATTAAAAATGTTAAAATTTTATGTTCAGACATGTTTCTAGGGAAAGATATAAAAGAGGTTAACTGTGCCAAACACATGTTCCAGAAGCAATGCTCACAATATGAAAAAAAAAAAGAGGAAGCTTACATTTTTCAACTACTATCACTTGTGGCAACATTTTCATGTTCAAAAACATATCGCCAAGGTCAGGGCCCAAACCCTGTATTTTCAAACAATTGTGCCTGCCCAAACAAAAACAGTTGCTTCAAGTAAATTACATTTCACTGCTGTTTAGGTCAAAACACCAAAGATTTCAAAGTCAAAACACACCTGAGAAGTCTGTGGAAAAGCCAGTTACCTTATGCTTGTTTTATACTAATGTTTTAATACATGATTTATACTTACACTAGTCCATTACACACATGCATTAAAAACAACATTCAGGAGCTTTTCAAGTCTGTGTTGGAAGTTTAAAGGCACAAGCCCATACATTTTCTACAATTTGAGAACAAATGTTATTTTTGCTAGCTTTATGTTAGAGGACAAACACCAACTAAACTCAGTTCTAAGATCACATTTTGAATCCTCCACCATAACCACTACAGTAATAAAAGGACCTTAAAAAAATAAGTAGATTAAATTAAACATAGATAAAAATAAAACTATGCACTTGGGAAGAAAAAAGCCTAAAGCAACATACAGAAAAAAACTAAGGCCATGACATTGAGGAGTAAGACCTTATGATAAACAGTTCTGTGAAATTGGCAGTTTAATGCCTGGTAGTTCTCAAAAATGCAGATCAGATGTTGTTAGTAGGAAAGGATGAAGGAGCTAAACAAGGACCATTATTACTCTGCTACATAAACTTCTGATTTAGTCCCATCTTGCACTCTGAGAAAAAAAAAAAAAAAAAAAAGGCTGGCAAAGCGACATCAAAAAAGAACACAAGGAGTAATTAATTTCTTATACCAAGGGCCACAGATCACTCTGCTGACCCATGCTGCAGATACAAAAACTTGACATGGGTTCAAGGGAAACTGGAAAAATTTTTGAAATAAAAATCCATCAGATGCAGAAGCACTACCACTGAATGCACAAAGCCATAGCCAACTCAAAGTCCTCTGAGCTAAAGGCAGCTAGAGAAAGAAGTATCAGCGTATGTTTAGTTTTTCTTCTTTAGATATATGTATACATTCATTACTACATCTGCTCAAGGCAGGAGACAACATGCTGTGCAAACAGACCTTTGGCCATTCTTCTATTTTCTGTCATTCTGCATAATTTAAAATGAGTGTATACAATGCCAATTACAGTGGCTTGAGATCATCTAGCTGTACGTTTTTACTTTTTGTACATTTGCCTAAAAATTTGTCTATAGTTACTTCTGCATTTTTCTGGGCAAAAGCTTATAGCTCCTTTGTGGTAGCCTCCTGTAACTGACAGGATTTAACTTGCATCTTTAAAAGAATTTGCTGCATATGCTCCTGCTTTCCCTGGCCCTATGACTATACAGTATGTGACCTGATACAATCAATACAACTTCTGGTGAAGGTAAAAAGCCATTCTTATTAAACAAAAACCTCTGTCTTGCACTCAACAGAAGTGTAATACTGGATTACCTTGTCCTATACATGGCCAAGGCCCATCTGGCAAACCCAGGGCCAATGCAACCAGGAGGAAGATTTGGTATTCTCTGTAGCTCTGATGATAATAAGCATAGATCCTGCAAGAAAAGCCAAACTGTCACAGTCACCAGATAAACTGTATATTAAAGACAGGTGTAAAGTTCACTCTAGGTAGGTCTACACAGCAGACTTTAGATTTCTGGAAATTCACCCATCCTCTTATTTTAACAAATGAGAGACAGGTTTAAACTAGACACTCCATAGCTCATGTCCCAAATACACAAGCTCTTTGTTAACTGAAGTTCACACATGGTTTTAAACTACTTAGTATGAGGGAAACTGTGAACTATAATGTTGAAATAACAAATTAAGGAATTAAGTGGACTTCTCTCTCTCATTTTCAAATTGAACAGGATGAGCCAATTCAATCACTACCACTGTTCCAATTACTATGAGCTGCCCTAATTTTCCTAGTAGCTGGTAGTCTGTAGATAATGTGGCTGGGTGACTATAAGATGGCTGTGTAACTTTATCATGTAAATATTTCTCAAATATTTCCTAGCAGTCCTTCAGTCTCACGCACAGTTACTCTGAAACACTGAAATAACAAAATATCATCTCTGCCATAATCCAAATTTAATAATGGAATTCATGGTCATCATATTTTGCTGGTTACACTGTCTTGCTTGCATTACTGTACTTTTCAGATGTCTACTACTACCCTCACAACCATTCAAACCAACTAGCCTACAGACAATATCAAGATATACAATTTTATCAAAATAAAATATGATAGAAGCTCATCCTTTTTTAGCCTTAGTTTTCTCATTACACTTCTACCAACTCTTCAATTTCTCTTTAACTATTTTGGAAAGACATCTTTCTGAGAAGTGCTACAGCTCTCATGAAATACACAGAAACTCAAGGATCCATCACAACTGTTAAGATTTCTTCTAGGCTTATCTTGAACTACCTTTACTCAAACAATTACTCAATTTCTAAGCCTTAGTTTCATGGCATTTCCTGACAAAAATAACGCACAGAAGATTATTCTGACTCACTTCATCATATTCCAGCTTCTATCCTTTCCTTCAATCTCTTTCAAAAGACTTTGGAACTCACTGGTTGCAAGGCATAACAATTTAAAATTAAATTATTACAAACTTCATTAGGAGTCAACAGCCACATAAGTTAAAAGGACAGAATGAAAAAAACACAGGTGGACAGGGTATCAAGAATAATCAACAAAGCACTTCTTTTTGGACTGTAACCTGTATAGGACCAGATTCCCAGCAAGAAAAAAGAAAAAAGAAAAAAAGGCGTTGCTTCCCACAAGAAGCTAAAAATTAATAAAACAGGTGTATGGTTTTGTATTCTTTTTTTACTTTTTTAATGGTGCAGACAGTGAATTTAACAGAACATATGCCAGTTTCCTGAGTAAAACAACACATTTAAATGGAGAAGCACCTAATACAAATCATAGTGAAAATTATTTGCACTTTTTGAATTTCAACTGAGTAACTTTAAGGATTATTACATATGTATATTAATAAGTACAACACAACTTTAAAACTGATGATAACTATTGTTAGTTAACCTGTATTCCTGGACAAATCACAGAAATACTCTTTCTTGTCCCTCGCTCCTCAACATCTTCACCAGTAAAGAGCACAAGACTAATCATTCTGCTAACCCCCTCTTTTAAAACATGCCTAGAAAACATTATATCCAAAGAAAAGATCATACACAACAGGGGAAAAAAAATATTTCCATATTACCCAGGAGCAGGCACCAGTTACTTTGCAAACAAACTGCCTCCAGGTGCAAAGAGGTAACTAAGATTTCTTTAAATAGTTATCCCACACAAAGGCTTTAGCACTGTTTTCAGCACAATGAGGGACAGCAACTTCAAGCAACTTGACACCAGAATAAATTTACTTAAGTAATCAGAATCTGAAATACTTCTAATTAATTAAAAAGCTCTACAATTATACCATGAGAGAGCCATGAAGCCATGTGGTGTCTTTACTTGTTGTGGAAAATCATCTTCCAGTGCATAGGTGATGTGAACTGGGCTAATGAGTTAGAGGCACTGAGTTTGAATGTCAGGACTCTGTTTAATGTCTACAAGTATCAGCTTCCTCCTCTCATTGCTCTGGAATTCCAGGCAAAAACAGAGAAGCATTCTCCTAGAAACATGTGTAGGTTATTATCAGATGGGATCAATTCGAACCTACACTGTATTCTGACCAGTTTCAGAACTTTTTCCACCTAATTCCAGGATATATCTCTGCAGAACATTTTAGATTCATTACAAGACTAAACTTAGCATTTTGTAGCAGAAGAGATTCAAGTTAGCACCATGTATTTCCAAGTTAGTTAATGGCAAGTTAGTTTCCAGAGGACTTTTCATAGAATCATAGAATCACAGAATCTTAGGGGCTGGAAGGGACCTCGAAAGATCATCTAGTCCAACCCCCCTGCCAGAGCAGGGTCACCTAGAGTACATCACACAGGAGCTCATCCAGGCGGGTTTTGAATGTCTCCAATGAAGGAGACTCCACAACCTCCCTGGGCAGCCTGTTCCAGTGCTCTGTCACTCTCACAGTAAAAATTTTTTTTTCGGATATTCACCTTGAACCTCCTATGCTCCAATTTACACCCATTACCCCTTGTCCTATCACTGGTCATCACTGAGAAAAGCCTAACTCCGTCCCCCTGACACTCACCCCTTACATATTTGTAAACATTGATGAGGTCACCCCTCAGTCTCCTTTTCTCCAAGCTAAAGAGACACAGCTCCCTCAGCCTTTCCTCATAAGGGAGATGTTCCACTCCATCATCTTCGTAGCTCTGCGCTGGACTCTTTCGAGCAGTTCCCTGTCCTTTTTGAACTGAGGGGCCCAGAACTGGACACAATACTCCAGATGCGGCCTCACCAATGCAGAATTGAGGGGGAGGAGAACCTCTCTTGACCGACTAACCACACCCTTGCACAGTGTGCAAGGCCAGGTTGGATGGGGCTCTGAGCAACTTGGTTTAATGGAAGGTGTTCCTGCCCATGGAAGGTGGGGTTGGAACTAGATGATCTTTAAGGTCCTTTCCAACCCAAACCATTCTATGACTCTATGCTAGAAAACAGAGAAGAACAAAATATCTACCCCGTGTGTTTTTCTGACTTACTGTAGAGAAGTAGACCTTGGCAGGTAGCTTTCTTTGCAAACTGAAATTAACAAATCAATAGGATAATA